CAGTGATGGTGCCCATCTTCATCCGGTGAAGAGCACAGTATATTTTATTTTATAAAAAATGAACTTTAGCACTGGATATTGCCTATTCTGATGCTTCCTTCCTAGTGTGCATCCTTTAAAACAATTAAACTAACCTACCAGCAGTTTTTCTATTGGGTCACTAACACTAGTGGTTTAACACCTCCCTTCTCCCTCCTGTTCTTGACAGTAAGAAAAAGAGCTGCATTGTTTTTAATACCAGTTTCTAAAGTGTTCAAGGCCCTGACCATTCCCCCCCCCCTTGGTATAACACCTCCCTTCTCCCTCCTGTTGTTGACAGTGAGAAAAAGCGCTGCATTGTTTTTAATACCAGTTTATAAAGTGCTCAAGGCCCTGACCTTTCCCCCCCCCCTCATCAAGGATTAGAATATCAATCAAGTGAAACAAATCTTAGTGCAAGGAGGGATGTGTTGTGAGCAAGAGGGGGAAAGGGACCTATTCCCCCCCCCCTTGTACACAGAAGGGCTATTATTTGCACAGAAACATGAGCCCCACATTACTAATATGAGGAGGGCGGCGTGGGCTTTCAAACAATAGCCAAGGGTGGCTGATTGATGAGCAAGGGGAAGATGGTGATGTCATCACTCTCGGTTGACTGAGGGAGGACATGATGCTTCTGGTTGTGTGAGCCTGTCTAGGAGGATAGGCACAGAAAGAGAGCACAAGGCCATTTCATTGGCAACCCATAGGGAGGTGAGCAGGAGCGTCTAGGTGCCTCTTTACTAGATCTATGCCATGTATTGTGTTATTGAGCCCATAGTCTCCCTTTCTGCTATACACACACACTCAAGGGGAGGAGGAAGAGGAGGGACTCGGTGTTGGGTGAAGCAGTCAGTGTTCCTGCCTTCATTAGTTTAGCAGAAACGGCCCGCTCAACAGCTGCTACCAACGCGGTTTTAACAGGGCGGGAAAGCGAAGGAAGGGTCCAGTCCGCAGCGCCTGGACAACCGGGGTCGGGGGGAAGACCGAGGGCGCGGTTAGTCGCAGGGTTGCAAATCATACCCACAAACTTCGCTGGGCCCCCGTCCTTCTGCCCACGCGCGGCACATATCCCTCCGCCACAGTCACTCCACCCCTCCTTCCATTGCTGAACTCGTCAATTCCCCGCAGTCCCCGGATGGAAAGCGTAATGGCCGCCAATAGTGATTCGTCGGACTATGGAGACGGGCAAGGTAACCTCAGCGCGCAGCGCTGTGTCTGGCGGGTGGGGGGGTTGACGGGATGAACCCCTGCGCGGTCGTAGAGGGAAAAGGGGCAGGTGGGTCACCCCTGTAGCCTGTCGGGTCAACGGCTTAGCTAGCAGCGGGGGGTGGGGGGGTGGAGGACTTTAAACTGGTCGGGTGAATCCCGGCAGTTGGGCAGGAAGCCACCCTCTTGTTGGGCCGAGGCGTTAAATAGTCCCGCGCGCTCGCTTCTGTTTCGGTTCTGCAAAGTTCGTGTGGACCCTCTTTTGGGTCCATTCTGCCCAAAGAGAGAGGGAAAGATTGTGAATATCTGAAATTAGTTTAGTTTCTTGTCGCGCCATTCCTCGCACTTGTCCGTGTCGGGGTTCAACAAGCTCGTGTATCACTCCGCCGGCTTGAGGGGGAGAAGCAATGCCCCTTCCCCCCCCAGTCCTGAGCAGAGTGTGACGCTGGGAACAACGACACTAGATGCGGGGTAGGGGTAGGAAGCGCGTGTGTAGCGAGGGTCTTACCTCAGTCACTCATTCTCTCTACACCTGGACCTGTTTCTTTGGGGGGTGAAGGTAGCAGGTTGATGCCAGTCATAAGAGGGTTTCTTTTTTCACACTAGAGAAACCACGTTCTGGAGTCACCTAGGAAACTCAACTTGAAATGTTTTGCCCAGCCTGGTACATGAACTGAGTCTTTATTTTCTTCAGTAATGGTTCTCCAGTGTTAGAGATCTGGAAACAATAAGGCAGACCAATTTATTGGATTTCAGATCCCAACATCCTTGAATCTGGACAAGGACTTGTCTTGTTCAACCCTGGCTGCCCACTCTTACTGGCTAGGTATGTAAGTTAATATGGAGAGGACTAGAAAACACATACAAGAGTATGTGTACAAGCAAACTCTGTCTTGACCTCCATTTTGTTCTTCTGGGATGTAGCTTCTCATCAACAAGCCTAATCATGGTTATCATCTCATGCCCCAAGCAGAGTAATGAATTCTGTCATCAGCTTGGATACTGACATTTATGTTGGTCATCATAGGACTGAAGTTAAATAGTATATATAACACTGCTCAAAACAGTGTATAGCTAGGGTAGATCAAGACAGCCTTATATATTAGCAGTAGATCCATGTGGGTAGCCATGTTGGTTTGAAGCAGCAGAACAGTTTGAGTCCAGTGGCACCTTTAAAACCAACAAAGTTTTATTCAAGATATAAGCTTTCGTGTGCACGCACACTTCTTCAGATAACTCTTAAGCGTTAAAATTGGACAGGTGTGGCATTAAAGTATAGAAGGTATAATGTGTACTATGGATGGACATATTTTATATGTGAAGATACAATTATCATAGAATTGTGTGGTATTTCAAACAATACCTTCATATGATATTTCTTGAACACATAAAATAGGGGACATTTTTATTAAGAAATCATTAGTAGAGCTTCATTTAAAAAAATGTACTTAGATGACTACATACAACTTAAAAAGTTAAACTGAGAAGGGTGAATACTTTAAGACTGATGGGTTGGGTTTGTTTCTCATGTTTAAAACCAACTTGATTACTAGATTATTCACTTTAGCAAGATTGTTCTAGTTTTGAAGAGTGGGTACACCATTTTTTAATCCTCGCAGTTCAGATGCATAGCCTGTGCAGGTCTTCCACTGATCCCAACATGACTCCCACAATTGATCTTTCTCTTTGATGCTTCTGGTTATGTATGTTGACAGCGCATAAAAGGTTCAAATGGGTGCTCTCTGGACCCAAATGTTTTGTTCAGTAATCAAATGTAGTGTTGAATGGATTTAAAGAAGTAGTGCTTTTGTACCACTTAAGATGGCAAGAAAGCTTTAAACATCTCAAAGTTTTATACCTTTTGACAAATTATATAATCAGTGATTAATTTCCCCCCATAATGTTTTGTGAAAACACCAGATGACCAGCTTCTTGAGAGTTGATGGGTTGGATCCAATGGAATGATTTTGTTTGCCAAGAGTTCTTCTGTAATTTAAGTCACAGGGAAGTCATGGGTAGCCTTTGCACTAAGTCAAGATGATTGTATTCTGTCTTGCATTTCTGCTTGCACAAAGCATAGCACAAGATATATTTCAGCATCCCCCGCCTCCCGTGGCCTTGTCTAGTCAAATCATATCTTGCTTCCAAACTGGACTGTAATGACTACATCAAATTTCCTTTGGATTTGTACATATGCAAATGAAAAATTGGTGCTTATAGTGTCTCTTGTTCAAATGGAACTGCATTAAGTAAAACTTCCCTCCAGCTGTGATATGATGGGATACAGCCCTCCATATTTATACTTCTAGGGTTGCAAATAAGAATATATGAGGTACAAAGAAGCACATTGTGGATGTCAACAAAACCAGGTTTCCGTACCAGAGTGGAAGGCAATTATAAAATATATAAATTAGCAAGATCTAGGACAATGTATCTTTTTAAAACGTGTCAGCTGCTGTATCCATTTAGTTCTGTTGTTTAGAATTCCAGCTGTAGTCATTGCAGTTATTTTGATGACCACTATTTGTTAGAATTGAGCACCATTGTTTTAAGTTCAGGATGTTTTTAAGATGTACTATATGTTTTTAAGTTATTATGTATATCATGTTTTTATTATGGCAAGGTTTTACCTTGCCCCTGTAAACCGCCCTGAGCCCATCGGAGAGGGCGGGGTATAAGTGCGAAAAATAAATAAATAAATAAGAATTGGGACAGGGAAAGCAGTTCATATTTTTATATATCAGAACCATTTTTTTAAAAAAACGTCGTATTAAACAAACATCAAACTCTTGTAAAATTGTGCATAAGCACAATTTTTTTAGGACTCTTGGCAAACAGGTACCAGGGATTTTTTTAAATTCCTGTTTGATCAGCTTTATAGTAAAATCAGAGGTCATTTTGGGGGGGATCGCAGTCCCCCCGGATGAGGTACGGGGGGCGGGGCACATGACGAAGCCCCGCCCCCGCTTCCGGCCGCCCCGCTTCCGGCCCTCATTCAGCCAGGAGGAGGCAGGAGAAGAGGGAGGGTAAGTTGCTTCCTCCCTGCCTCTCCCAACCCCTGCCTGCCTGGGGCCAGGGAGGGCCTTTGCGGAGCTTCCTTGCACTCCCGCCAGCCTTGCAGGTCCACCGCCGGGCCCCTCATGGGGCTCAGCAGTGGAGCTGCAAGGCCGGAGACGGCTGGGACCGTTGGGGGCGGGATGTGTGGCCTTATGACACACTTCCGGTGATGTCAGGGGGTGTGGCATATGCTAATGAGTTCCCCTAGCTCTTTTTCTGCGAATCGACCCCTGAGTAAAATGATATTAGGATTGGTTGAATTTGCATTAAGAATAGATCTGAAATGGTGGTGACTCTAGAACATATACATTTTTCATGAATATCTGTACTGAGTGTTTTTTAAAAAATCATTTTCTGTATTTCCAGGCTTTTAATGTACATCTTTCTGTTGAATTTGCCTTCTCCTGAGCCTTGCATTTATGCCTTTCATCTGTTGGGAAAGAAAAATATTGAACAGGCTGCTGAAGAATGGAATTGTAGCCTTTCCTTAAAGAGTAAGTTTTATTACTTATTCTTGGCTAAATTTAAAGTTTGTTATGTGGGAAGTTTGCTTAAAAAGTCATGCATAAACTAAAATTGTGTTATGTTCATGTGTGAGCTTGGTTTTATAAAGAATTACTTGGCTCTTTGTCAGTGTTGAGTAAAAATTTGATCCAGGCAGCCATGCTGGAAAGCTATACAGTACCTGATTGGACTTTTCTCTCTTTTTTTTAGGTCACAGATGAGTACCACGTGCGGGGAGGTAGGCTAGTAAACTTTTTTGTGGTGTTGAGAATTTTTATGGTTCATTAGCAAGATTAATGTGTCACATCTCATTATTTAGCAGTGTAGTTTATCTTGTTATATAATTTGGATCATATAAAAAAAAGGAAAGAACATGTGTGTTATTTCAGCTATGCATGTGTTGCCTATATTGACTGTGTCTGAGGACCTTATACAGGATATCAATAGTAAACAAAAATGAAATCAATGTGATTTGAGCACCAATACATTTCTGCTGTGCTGTGGGTGGATCTCAGTCCTGCATGTTGGAGCCACTGTCTCCTTTGGCATCCTCTCTTTAGTAACAGAAGATGTCTTCTCAGTGAAAAGTACGTAATTTAGTAGTGTTCAGGAGAATAAATCTTGAGAAGACAGCTCACTTGTTAGTTAATTTTCTGATGAAAGAGGATTTTCCTCAGTGCAATAATTGACCCTGAGGGAAGCCTTCTCTGCGTAAGAAGGCCCCTTGTTCTGATATCAGGTCCCTGTTAAATTCTTACCTCCCATGCCGCATGTGTATAAGCTGCATTATATATTTGCATAAGAGTTTGATTATGAAAATATGTAGTAGTAGTAGGCATAATACAACAGCTTTTAAAATATGATTAATTTCAGTTCAGAATTTTAGTGTATAACATTTTCCCGCTTATATTCTGATGGCTCAATTTCTGCACTTGGGCTTCTATTCCTACTGATACATTTCATAGGACCTTCACTTCTGTAAAAGCAAATAATTTCTTTCAGTAGAAATCAGAATTATGAATTGCATTTTTCATGGATACTCGTTTGTACAACTTATAGTGCAATCCTAAGAAGAGTTATGCCTTTCTAAGTGTATTGAAATCAATGGGTGTAGATTACACTATTAGTGTGGTGCCAGTGTCTGTTCTATCAAGTCCTGTCAAGTATGGCATGAATAGGATAGTCATAGAAAGCTAGTTGGTGCTGCATTTGCCAATTAGTTTGGAGGAGGAAGGCCAGCTTTGAAAATCGTCTGGGAGGAGGAACCATGGAGGCAGTGGGATTTGGGGTGAACAACAACAAGCAGTGATGTATTGCTTCATGAACTATGGCCAGTGATGAGAATGGCTGATGTATGAGAAGCAAGCATGTGAAGGCGAAGCATAGTAACTTGGGAATCTGGGATAGAATGGCCACTAAAAGTTTTTGTTAATCGCCATCATGCAAGTTTCAATTGTAATGTCTAAACTGCTAAATCAGAAGTGACTATGCCACAGAGAGAAGGAAGTTACATTAGAAGTTTTAATCGTTGGGCTCATCTTTATTTTTTATGGCCATTTTAGCACACAAATTATTAGATTTTAAAATACGAACCTGGTGTTAGGACCTTTTTGCTTGTAAAGTCTTTTAAAATTAACTTTGTAATTTTTATTTCAGGTGTACTTAGTTGGAAAAAACTGGGCCTTTGGAAATATTTCAGCACAAGGACAGAGAACACAGTATACGTAAAAGAAAAAATACAGTATACTGCAATATTTTTTTAAAATGTCATTTGAACAGGAACAATCCATTTACATTGAAAAGACAAACTTATTAAAAGATAATGTGTGGGACAGAATATGCGACCCAGTATCAGAAACTGTTGTTCAAAAGTCTACACTTCAGCCTGCAATTTCCGACATTCTTTCCTATGGATTGAAAAATGTGAAAATAGAATTGCCCAGGGTAGATATTCCCAATGAAGTGACAGCTAAACATGAAATTGACAGATACATGAGATTATTTCAATGTAAAGAGGAACCTGAAACTGTGTTTTTCATACAAGAGGATGTGAATGGTAGCTATCCAAATTGTTCTGAGATTTTTGCTCCACAAAGTAAACCAGAATTACACCATGAAGAGGGATTGAAAACATCTGCAAAAATACTGAATTTTAGCTGTACAAAATGCAGAAACAACATTCGATACAGCCCAAATGATTTACAGAAACATTTTCAGCTGCTGCACCATGGAGAGTTGCCATCTTACCCCTGTGAAATGTGTGATTTTTCAGCTAATGACTTTCAGTCATTTAACCAACACCGTCGGACGCATCGTAGCACTTTAGTGAAATGTGAAATCTGTAATGATGAACATAGATACACATTGTTGGATTTGACGAAACATTTCTCATCTAGGCATTGTGTAAATGGTCACTTTCAGTGCGCAAGATGTAGATTTTCTACCCTGGATGTAGGCACATTTGTTCAGCATATTCATAGGCACAATGAAATACAGTATAAATGTGATAAATGTGAACATGTAAGTTTCTCAAAAGATGTGTTTCAAAAACATGTTGTTTCACACACTGGCACGTTTCCCTTTAGTTGTCAGTATTGTAATTACATGGCATCACGGAAAACCTATCTTTTAAAACATCTTATTGCTTTGCACAGAGACCACCTCTATGCAAAAGATAAAATGGATACAGATAACAGTGAAAAGAAAATGGAGACTTCAACAGGACTTAAACTTATCTTGAAAAGGTACAAAACAGGGGCTTCAAGAAAGGCACTGTGGAAACGCAAAAGAATTATCAGTGGCAGTTGTGAAATTGAAGAAGATGAACAAGTTGTTGGAGTTACAAATCAAATAGAGCCTAAGTCTGAAGAGATAAGCCAGCCTGCAAAAAAGTTGCAGTTAAATGAAGACCACATTTTTCGTGGTGAAAAGCATGTACACAGTGGAACAAAATCCTCTACAACACTACAGTACAATAGAGCAGAAGATGGATTATGTTCTGGACTGGGATTGTTGAAAAAAGCTGTTCATGGTCCTACAGTATTGATGGTGAAAAATAATAAAATATCGGTTCCAGCAAACTACAGTGCTAAATTTATGGGATTCAAAATGGTGGATGGAAAGCAACATATAGTAATAAAACTGTTACCCTCAGATAAGACGAAATTGCCGACAGGAAATAAAATTGATGGGGTTAAAGATAGTTCAGCAGAATGTCTACAGCAGACAACTGACAACCTCAATTTACATTCAGGTTCTGGACCTCATGAAAGTAATCAACAAAGGTCTACAAATAATTCTGCTCACTCATTAACAACTGCATTTTCTAATCAACATTTTAATCAATTATCAGGAAAAATAAAGCAAGAAAGTGACAGTTACTTTAGTTGGGATACATCTCGAGCTGTTGTACCTCCTGTTGTGGTCGTAGGAAAATGTGCTACTCGTTTTCCAGTGAAGCCAGATACTGCCGCACTTGGTTCTAGTTTGGTGCCACAGAGTGGAACTAAAGATAATGTCTCTTGGAGGAATAGTATACCTCAAGATCATCCTCAGGTATTTTCTTCTGCTGGAACAAATATGCTCCATTATGACCCCATGAAAAAAACTTTTCCTTCAGAATTCAAAATACGGAATGGTGAAGTGAACGATATCAGTAAACACAGTATTGTCTGTTATTCAACTGATTTTTCTAATCAAACAACATTGCCTTTCCATAATTATTCTAAAATAGGCATTCTGGAGACGTCCAAGGAGCTTATGTCCAGCAAGACCTTTTCTGTCCAAAGCAGCCCTGTAGTTGAAACTACAGCATGCTTTCCACAGTCTGCAGCAGGGTTAAATTTAGCAAAAAGAGCTTCAATGCCACTTGTTTATAGCAGTGTAAATACTAAGAATGCTCCAGTATTTTCAACCGGTCAGTCCAAATATGCCACTGATGGACAGTGTTGTACAGAAAATCATCATGATGGCAAGCGATATTTGAATACTAGGGTAAATCAAGTATTGGAACATGTAGCTGAAAAATCTAAACAAGACAACACCTCTAATTGTATTAATTCATGTATGCCTAAAATAACATCAGTTTTTTCACTCCAGAGTAATCAGGCATCCAATTATTTGTCACCGGAAGTAAACCAGTCATTACAAGATGTGTTAAAAGTAAAGCCAACTGTTCAACCACAGAGGTACATACAAATGGATTACAATCAATCATTTTCAAATAGTTCAGACTGCAAAAGATTTACACCGTTCAAAGACCAAACAATTATGTCCAGTTTAGTCCATTCTCCTGCTACATTCAAAAGAGAGCTAAATGTGAACTGCAACACGATGAATGAAAGTGTATATTTTAGGAATGAAAGACGGGTCCCAATAACGTCTCTTAGAACGCAAGAAGTACAGTCAACTGTAAGGACAACAGGAATTGGTGCGTTGCTTAAAACACAAACGGATACAATTATAACACAACAGCTGGCGAAAGATAAATTGCACTACACTATCCAAGGTCCTAATGCTAGTTGTCCGTCATTTTCAGAACAGAAGAAAGCAGTGCTACTTCAGTCATCTCCATCAAGATATTTTGTACCTTTGCGCCTTGCCCACCAACAAGGATTACAGGTTATTACAGGAAAACCTTCTCCAAACATAAGTTCATCAAATTCTCAGGCAACAAGACCGACGTCTCTACTTTTAAACAAAGGACCCGGGATGATTTTGACATTTGGTAGTGGGTCACTTGGAACGATTGCGAATGCCACTGAAAACAATTCTCAGGTTTTAGATAAATTTCCCTCTAAAGAGTGTGCTAAAGAAGCAGTATCTACATCACAACTGGAGTTGACAATAGGCAGATCCGGAAGTGTAAAAAATGCTTTTGGTGTTGGTGCATGCAGTGGAGCAGTAAGTGTTTCATCAGTTGGTATGTCACGTAAGGAGCCACTTAATGTTACTAATTCAGGTGACTGTCATGAGAGTGGAATTTCCTCTGTGAAAATACTAACAGGTTATCAAGGCAGTAAAGTTGACTCCTTGGAGTCAAGAAAACAACAGGAGATTGGACAAGAACAACCTGTTTATGCACTTTTGCCCAATGGCAGACAAGCAGTTTTTCTGAAATGTATGTCACCAAACAAGTCTCTAGTACAAAACCATAATGTTTTTCATAATACTGCTTGTACTCAAAATACTGAACCAAAGAAACCTGGAGCAATGCAACAAA